ACTGGTGGGCGAGTGCTCGGTTCCGACTTTCACCGCCGGTCCAACAGCGTTCTGCTGGTTCCCGCCGATCCGGTTACGACACCGCAAGTGCCGTACCGACTCGGGCGTCCCAGGTGGGCGTAACGGTTACCACACCAGTTCGCGACCCCAGGCTCTGTCAGCCGTCGTACGGCTCTCGGACGGACACTCTAATAGATCAGCCACAGATCAATAGATTGTCACAGACCGTCCGTCCAGCCACGCGCTACCCACAGCGCAGTACGACAACGCCTATGGACGATGCATGGAAAGAATCGATAAATTTTTATGGTTTGCCCCCCCCCCCCCCAAACCTCTGAGCTGGATCCGCCTCTGTTCTGCGGTCGGTTAGATTCCTTACGCACTGCTGTGCCGTTTAATACTTTTTTTTAATAAAGGCATTGTGTTTCGTTTTCGAAAAGCCGAAAATTTTCGTCGATTTCGGACGCTGCGGGGGATATTTAACCCCAAATGTCACCCTGCCCGTGCCGGTCTGTATCCACCGGTGTAGGGTCAGGCTGCCTGCTATTTCTTTATTTTTTTTTTTCAAAATAAAAATAAAAATCATGGCATCAGGGCTGTGACGGAAAATAAGTGGCCTAAATCCGATGAGAAAACCGGATTTGAGGGTACCCTAGGTTTGGCTTCTGAGCCTCTGGCCCCCCAGTGAAAATTCCTTAGAGGAGGCCCTGATTAAGCATGACCTCTGACGGCCGGTGTTTACCTCCGACGGCTACGAATGACCTCTGAGGGCGATGTAAGTGGTTATAGATGACCTCTGGGATCCGGTGTTTGCCTCTGATGGCTAAAAATGACCTCTGACGACTGAGTGAATATGAGATCAGCGACTGAACTGAGGGATATAATAATAATTACGTAAGGTTAATCAAACCAGGTAATCAAATCGGTCGTTTTACCAGCGTACGGACAAAAATTGTGTAATTTCTTTTGCTTCGGGAAAGCAATTTGGGTTTCTTTGTAATTACCAAACGCTATTCAACCAACAGTCTTCATTGCTCTCAGAACCGCAGTCCGCAGCAACGAGACAGACAAAACGGGGCACATTTCATAATGTAACATGGAAATTCAAACAGAGTCGGGGTGCAGGATTGCCAGGATATCTACCACGGGATCCTGGATGAACGGTTTTGTAATTTGTTAGATGTAGGTAGGGGAGAGTGGGGGGGGGGGGGGCAAAGCGGTCACCTGGGGCAAAGCGGCCACCCCTTGTTTTAGCCCTGCACAACTGGCGTCAGCTCCAGTTTATGGTTGCCAGTTATGCTCGCGGTCGTTCGAGTGATCAGTGAGTCAGACCGGGGTTTCCGACCCATTGCCACTTTTTCGTGACAAACAAAAAGGCATATTATCCCAATTTTCTTACGCTTTTTAAATGCTCTTTTATGCCATACGCACCTATTAACTAACCGTTTTAAAGTCTATGTATTCTCATTCCTGCATTGAGTGGTTATCGTACATGCCCTGCAGCCCTCTGCCAATTTTAATGCGTTCTGCTCCACTACATAATAACAGAGCTGGAAGATTGTTTTGTCTTGAATGGCAGGCGCGAGGCAAAGTGGACCGAGTAGAGTGGACAGTTCCTAATGTTATATGCTGCCTCAACGTAGACAAAAAACGTATTGATATTGAAATGCATCGTCATGCGTTCATCTAAGCCACTATTCGATTACATGAGTTACCCAAATAATGCAATTACCTGAATGTTTTTTTTTTCGTGAATGTCCCTCCATTGTGTACGTACCTACCTACATGTGAACGATGACAAATTTAACATCCATCCCATTCATCCAAACCCGCACCCCGCTGAGGGGGAAGGGGGCAGAATCTGCACCCCTTCCCGTTTTTCGCCAATAGGGGAGAGTGGTGGTGGAGGCTCTGTCTGCGCCATGGTCGTCGGTACCGGCGGCCGGCTGCCCGCCTGCCGTCCCCGCTCGTCTTCGTCGACGCTGCAGTTTGGTAATCGGCGTGTAGTGGGCGGTACAAGTGATCGAGTGTTTGGGTACTGTTGCCTTGTGCTTGGGGCTTCCGAGGGGAGGGAGGCCTGGGGTCTGGTTGCGACGGGAGGCTGTTAGATCTGGGATTACGACCGGGCTTCCGGGGCGGCGGCTGGGGATGGGGATTGGGGGGGGGGGTCGGGGTATCAGCTTGGGTTTGTTACGGAGCGAGCGAAGCGAGCGTAGTCTTTCCTTAGATTAACGGAAATTTCTGAGTATGAGCGGCCGGCCGGCCGGCCCCTTATGCACGTGCCACGTGCAAAACGAAGAGGTGTCACTTTTGTAATTGTTGCAATATCTCGGTAACTACTTGGCCGATTGCGCTGAAAGTTGGCATGTAGGTAGGCACCCACTAGGCACTGCATATACATGTGCCAGAGTTGGGGTGCTGCTGCACGTGCGCACGTGCAGGGGTCGATTCCAGATCTCGAGAACGGCTGGACCGATGGCGCTCAAATTTGGCACATGGTTAGGGACCGGTTAGTAGGGTGCCGTGCAAAAGTCAGCTGGGACCCATTTTGCACGTGCGCACGTGCAGGGTGCCGCTTCCAGATCTCGAGAACGGCTGGGCCGATTGTGCTCAAATTTGGCACATCGCTAGAGACCGGTTAGTAGGGTGCCGTGCACAAGTCAGCTGGAGGTACCCCGTCGAAATTTCGCACGTGCAAGGCTCACCCTCTCGCTCGCTCCGTTAGTCGCCCCAAAAGGCGTTATACTGGTTAAACTCTTCGTGTGACGTAATAGGTACTCTTTTAAGTGTAAGAAGTGAATACAAATATTTGTAGAGTTCAGATGTTTTCAACCATGTTTATTCTGTCTGCTACGTTCTACCTACGTCACTCAGATCACCCGAGGATGTCGCCGAAGACGAAACGGCCGATGAAATCGCTTGAGATCATCTGAGGACATAATACCTATGCCTATAATCTAGATGATAATTTATAACACAGGCGATGAACTTATATTGCCGCTTCATCATTATCAGCCCGGTGAACGTTTTTATTAGTCATAGAATGGCCGGAATAGGAAAAAAACGTATAAAAATGTTGACCTCCAAAGTTTAAAGTTCCAAGCTTCCTGAGGTGACCCGATGTCAGCTATTTAACCCTCACCGGCCGCAGGGGGGGGGGGGGGTACCGTCCCCCATAGTGCTATTTTCACGATAGCTCTGAGTCGGAACACGCCGGGATAGAGAGCTGAAACTTTGCATACCTGACCTTTGATTCAAGCAGGATTTTTTTTTACTCTAATATCATTTTCTAGTCAGGTTAGGTCACTGGCCTATGGACTATGACGTCATAAGTGAGCCCCTGCAGTTCTGAGCGGGTCTAGAATGTCGCAACTTCGCAATACCTATACCCTCAGTGCCAGATGAACTTTCACTTTCACAGGGAGACTTGAAACTATAGATCAGCCAGGGTCCTCAGGCCAGCAAGAGGTCCTCAGAGGCCGGCGATACCTTCAGAAGCCCTCTGGGGTCCTTTAGAGACCGGCACGATACTCTCAGACGCCGGTGGGGCCCTCAGTGTCGCCGATGTGGGGCCCTCAAAAGTCACCGGTGGGTGGCCACTAAATACGCAGATGTGGAGCCCTCAGAGGCCCTAATGATGGGCCCTCAGAGACACCTATAAAGACTTCACGGTCGCTGTTATGGGGCCCTCAGAGAAAATTGTGTGGGGCTATCATATAGGCGGGTGTAAGGCCACTAGAGTCGGGCCCTAATTTAGGCCGGTAAGGGTCCTTAGAGGCCAGCAAAGGCCCTCAGAAGTCGGCGTAGGGCCTAGGGGCTTTATGGAGATGTCGGTGTGGCTACTTAGGGGCTCATAAGATGCCCTTACGAGCCCTGTTCGGCCCTTCTGAGTCGAAATATAGCCAGAAATATGACCAGTAATGAGTAAACCCTCAGCGGCCATTTGGCGCCACAGGGCCCATGGGGCCCGTGTGTGGGCCCTTCTAGGCCGGTTTGGGCCCTCAGAGGCACCGGTGATGGCTCTCACAGTCGCCCTTATGAATGAAGGACCTCAGATATATTGGTGTGGGACCATCTGAGACGGGTGCGGGGCCTCTAGAGATGGTCCCTAATGGCCAGTAAGGGCCTTCAGGCCCGCAATGGCCCTGAGGCCGGTAGAGACCGCCGAGGGCCCCGCAGAGGCCGCCAAGGTGCCCTAAGAAGCCGGCGTGGGCTCTTACGGAGATATTAGTGTGGCTACTTAGGGGCCCGTGAGGTGCTCTTACGAGCCCTGTGGGGCCCGTCTGAGTCGAAATATGGTCAGTGTGGAGTCTAGCGGCCAACTGGCGCCACAGGGCCTTTCGGGCCCGTGTGGGGGACCTTCGAGACCGTTGTGGGCCCTTAGAGGCGTCGGTGAGGGCCCTCACAGTCACTGTTATGGGCCCTCAGAGACATTGGTGTGGGGCTATTACAGGTGGGTGTGGGGTCCATAGAGCTGGCCCCTCATGGACCGGTAAGGACTCCCAGAGGCCGGCAAGGGGCCGTCAGGCCGGTAAGGGGTCCTCATAGGCCGGTAAGGGCCCAAGAAGCCGCCAAGGGGCCCTCAGACGCCGCCAAGGGGCTCTCAGAGGCCGCCAAGGGCCCTCAAAGGCCGGCAAGGGGCCCGATGGGGATCTAAGTCAAGTGTGGCTACTATTTACTATAAAGGGGCCCATGAGGTGCTCTTATGAGCTCTAGGGCCCTTCTGAGTCTAAATTTGGCCGGTATGGAGTGGACACTCAACGGCCAATTGGCGCCGCAGGGCCCCTCGGGCCCGAGGGGCCCCCTTGACCCGATGGGGGGGGGGGCACGTGCCCCCTGTGTCCCCCTGGCTACGCCACTGGTCATTCGGCTGCCTCGGAGAGGTTGTTCACTTTTCTTTCCTCTGATTGGCTGGTGTTTCGTAGTTTCGCTATTCAGGCTTACGAAGATCTGAAAAGAACACAAGACTTTTAAGCATGTGCGCCATAAGCGTATAAAGCACTGTTTTGGTTTGCAAAGTGTTGTAAAGGGTGGTAAAGGGAGAAGCCGGAGAGAAACCGCGGCGTGTATGTAGATGCAAGGTATTTTCCCAAACAATTCAATTATATATCGACGGGGGCTGTCTATCAGTGACTAAATTTCACGGAAAATGTCTTCAGCTATTCTTTAGGGAAGATGAAGAGGTGCTGTCAAATTACAATGTGATGTAGTTAATTCGTTAACTCTTGACTCTTGACGTCAACGTGTCATTAGCCAAGTTAGAAAGCTAGATTGAAATTTGAGAAGCGAAGGGAAGGTCTGAAAGAGATTGTTTCCTTCTACCATGGCCTATTATAGGTTTAGGTGATTTTTAAGACTTTTGCCTATCAAATCACACATTTTGTATAGTCAGAATCTACTTTTCCATGCTAAATAACCTGGAAACCATCATGGAAACACTGAAATGGACAATAATTTTTGATGTATCACAGTTATACCAACTGCATTTCGTACAAAGAAATTATACTACCGACACCGTTTCGATGTTTACGCGCTGTGTGTGCTAAGTGGGGCAGAATTGTAACGTAAAAAATACTATAAAATTCCATAAAATAGAAAGAATAAATATATTGAAAATAAAATATGGCCTTATAAAAACAAAAACAACCTAACCTCACCTGACCTAACCCGACCTACTGATTTTTGCCTACCCGGGGATAAGAAAACAGTTGCTCGCATGAATAGATTGCAAGCAATGGTAAGTATAAATCACACTATAGTTCGTTTTTCTTAAGTTCGACCCTCACTGTAATCGTCTCTTTGAAAACAGCACGAGAATTGCTAGCTGAATTACTGAGAAAACTGGCTGGCGCACATTGATTTCACAGACAACTAATTTTACTCAAAATTATTTCTTCCTGGCTCTTATTTTCCAGACTCCTAGCTCGTATTTGCCTTCATATACAACCCCACAGGGATAGACGTCTTGTCAGAAATTATAACTGAACTGATCAATAGATCGCACGGGGTTTAACAGAACGGTATATCATCGGTGTTTTAAAACTTATTTGGAAAGTATTATTCATGTCTACAGTACAATGTGCGCTAGCCAGCTTTCTAAGTAATTCAGCTAGCAATTCTCGTGCTATGTTCAAAATGATATTTACAGTGAGGGTCGAACTTAGAAAAAACGAACTATATCTTGTTTAGGAAAAGTGTTGTTTTCAATAGTGCCAAGTTTTCACACTTCACACAACCAAGCTGTCATCCAATTATTTCACCTTACAAAAATATAACTATCATAAATGCTGCACAGAGGCTCTTTTCAATGGTAAAACACAATTTTAGGAAGTTCCTTCCTGTTTTTTTTTTTAGCAAATTTAGGCTACCTTTCATGAGGTCATGTAAGGGATTAATTCCCTGCGCAGTGTGCTAATAGGCTATTCCATGAAAACAAGTGGTTCTTACCTATATTGAAATATGCTTTTCATATTTTTAACTTACATAATACATACATTACATGAAACTTACATATTTCATAACTTACAGGAAGTGCACATAAAGAACTTTTAGAACCTTTACACTTTATAGGCAAAAGATGATGCAGGGCAAAGAAATCTCATGATTTTTGGACAGGCCATCAGGCCATCTTACACATATGGTACCTAATTTATAGAAGGAATAGACAATCAACAGTAATAATATTTTTAGCATATTTAATTTAGTGAAGGTTATTTGTTAGTTGTTACTCAAGTTGTAAATTACTGAAATGCATGTAGGTACTTAATTCCCTGCCAACTGATTTGAGGTATCTGCTCCAACCAAACTCAGAATATCTTCATAGTTAGTTAATGATTTTCTTAGTTCACACAGTTTATGATGATACCTAGTATGTCTGAGATGGGTAATGCTAGAATATGACAAGAAGGTGTGAAGTCATATGGATTGCAACCTTGGAGCTTCGATTTCCAATGTTACTTGTGTGTTCTGTTTATATATCCATAACCATTAGGAATGTTACTTTGATCTTTAAGCCAAGCCAATTAGATGCTTACAGGTCTGTGTTTCATGAAGGGCTAACAATATTTTGTGATTTGTACAATTTACTCCTACAATAGTAAATTGTAGGATGCAATTTACTCATGCCATTGCCCACTTATTTTCTCTGAGAAGTTTAATCCATGATTCCTCAAATTTATGTTGGAGAGCACCTACCTGAAAGGTTCTCATTTAATGAAAATTATTATTTTTGCTAAGATATCAATTATTTTTGTAACTAACCTCAACCCTAATTTATTATGCATCCTGCAGAATCTTGCTCCATGAATTGGTACCTATGTGTTAAGTTCAATGGCCTATGGTGCTTCTTTTGTTTTTTTTTTATGCATTACTTGGACATAAATACACAATGGATAATAATTGTAGCATATTGTGTAGGCTACCTAGGTATATTTGAGTTGTAAATGCAGGCTTAAGCTGCAGTTTTGTGTTGGAACTGTACATAGCAAGTCATAGCACTATCTGAGTGCTTAAAGCTCACTGATAAGCTCACTGAAGCTCACTGAAAACGGCTATCTTTGATTTTGAAATTTTTGGATGACCCCAAAAATAAAAGAAGTACGTTTTTTTAAATAATAGCCAAAAAAATTCCAATTTTTAAAGTTTGAAAACAAACAGGAGAAAAATCACTGAGTTCTAGACTCTAGTGCTATGAATTCTGAATTGTAACCATGCTTTGTTACAGCTGGCACCATGACCCAAGACAGCTAGACATGGCTTGACAACCAAGCAATCAACACTGCTGCCATGCCCATCAGCAACCAGGATTTCATCTCCACCCCTAGGAAATATCACAGCCTGCCTCGTCAATGCAAACCCTGCAATGCTCAGGCGCAGGTCAGTTGGATTGTCTTTGGTCTGGCTGGTTCGTGTTTGACCGAAAAATTGAGCTTTTCGCAGAATTTTCCAACTGTTACTTTTTTACTCTAAGGCCAGCTTTAGGGTTTTCAAGCAGAGTAAAATAAGGACTTGTGTGAGTCATTAACACACTCAAAGGCAGAGGTTGCGCAGCTGCTGTTGTTTTGGATTTTTCCTGTGGTTACCCGTGCTGATAGACAGTTGAGACAATATGTGCATGGTGATCAGTAATCACCCCCTATAATTTGTGCATTTCAGGGGATATCTCCTCGCCTGTTGTGCGTTCGTGACTTTCGAATCAAGCTGAATGCATTTCAAGTCTGGTTCCGCGACTTCGATGATGAGCAGAAGAACATTGTTCTTCAGGAACTCATGGTATGGTAGTAGGACATCTGCCTGTCACCTGTGATTTCACAGTGTGTTGTTATTTTAGTTTTGGTCATGAACAGCTGCTTTAGCCATTTTTTATGTGCAGAAGTGAGCGTTTCAACGAGAACGCCGTTGAAAATCGATAGCTTTGTTGGTTGCGTCAATTTCCTTACATTATTCATGTACTATTTTTCTAATCAAGCGTACTCTGCACCGGCAGCCATACGCCCTGCCGATACCCCACGGCCCACTGACCCCACCGAGCGCCTCCCCTCTCAGGGCCTGTGCGGTCCTGCGCTGACCCCACTGAGCGCCTCCCCTCTCAGGGCCTGTGCGGTCCGGCGCACGGTGTGACCACAGAACTCACTGAGCGCCTCCCCTCTCAGGGCCTGTGCGATCCGGCGCACGGTGTGACCAGTGACCACAGAACTCACTAAGCGACCTCCCCTCTCAGGACCTGTGCGGTCCTGCGCTGACCCCACTGAGCGCCTCCCCTCTCAGGGCCTGTGCGGTCCGGCGCACGGTGTGACCACAGAACTCACTGAGCGCCTCCCCTCTCAGGGCCTGTGCGGTCCTGCGCTGACCCCACTGAGCGCCTCCCCTCTCAGGGCCTGTGTGATCCGGCGCACGGTGTGAGGTGACCACAGAACTCACTGAGCGCCTCCCCTCTCAGGGCCTGTGTGGTCCGGCGCACGGTGTGAGGTGACCACAGATCTCACTGAGCGCCTCCCCTCTCAGGGCCTGTGCGGTCCGGCGCACGGTGTGGCCACAGAACTCACTGAGCGCTTCCCCTCTCAGGGCCTGTGCGGTCCGGCGCACGGTGTGACCACAGAACTCACTGAGCGCCTCCCCTCTCAGGGCCTGTGCACTGTGTGAGGTGACCACAGAACTCACTGAGCGCCTCCCCTCTCAGGGCCTGTGCGGTCCGGCGCACGGTGTGACCACAGAACTCACTGAGCACCTCCCCTCTCAGGGCCTGTGTGGTCCGGCGCTGACCCCACTGAGCGCCTCCCCTCTCAGGGCCTGTGCGGTCCGGCGCACGGTGTGACCACAGAACTCACCGAGCGTCCTCTCCTCTCAGGGCCTGTGCGGTCCGGCGCACGGTGTGACCACTGACCCCACCGAGCGCCTCCCCTCTCAGGGCCTGTGCGGTCCGGCGCTGACCCCACCGAGCGCCTCCCCTCTCAGGGCCTGTGCGGTCCGGCGCAGAACCACCTGCTGTCAGTGCGGCTGCAGAACTCTCTGCACGAGCGGTGTCCGCCCAACTGCCAGGACCTGCTGTCGTGGCTGCCGGCGCACGTGGTCTCCAAGGTGCTCTCCTACCTGGACCCGGTCAGCCTGGCACGCTGCTCGGCCGTCTGCAGGTGAGACACGCTGAGCTGGTGATGGAGCATATAGCTCAGTTCACCGAATACCGAGGCATTCACATACAGATGTCTATAGGAAGGACGGAAGATAGACTGTATTTCGCCATTGGCATGTCGGACACAGGGTTTCGGAGGGAATTAATCCCGAGTCGGTAGATACTGATTATGTGTTTTACCGATCTCTTGCTTCGTTTTCGACCTCATCGGAACATTATACCGATAGCTGGCTGATGTCGACAATCCCTCAGTCCATGGCACGGGCGATGCATTCATTGTAAAGGAAACTTGTAGTTGAGAGTTCTCTACAATATGCTAACATCATTTATAGATCTTCACATGCCATGCCTCGACTCAGCTGCATGGGCGTCGCCACCACTACGGACACTACGGACAGTGTCCGTACAAGTTTTGGAAGGTCCGAGAACTTGTACGGAATGTCCGTACAAGTTGCGACGACCGAAAATGAGCTTTGCAAGTAAAATGACATAAATGAAGCCAATTACCTAATATCAATTTCAGTTTTTGACGAGGAAGACAGTGGTCTTAACGTTTTATTGCACATCTACCAGCTAAATTTGATGCGTTCTCTTTCAATCTGTATAGTAGATTAGGTATCGATTCCGGAGGATCGTTCCAGCTTGAGAGAACTCGTCCTCACTTGACAAGGGGCAGCACAGGGAACACACATAATGCAGGTCACAGAATAGAGCACAGGGAAGGACGGGCTCAGACTCAGGCTCAGGATGACAGGAACGCAGAAACAACATCAGCAGGGCTACATCCCTGAGTGGGGGATGTGTTCCATAGCATGGCGCATATGACGGGATACAATACCGCTCTAAGGGGTCATACAAATGCCACATTCCTACTAGTCTGGAGGAGTCTCACCATTTGGAGGACATTTTTTTTTTATTCAAATAAATCGCCAACAGGCTCATGGCCCATTAACCCTCGCCCGCACATGCCATTTTCCCATCCTAGAACGCACATGGGGGGGGGGGGGGGTTGCCACCCCCCCGCGCCAGTTCGTTCCTGTTTGAGATAGAGCTTAGCAGTAAAGACCAAAAAGATTCTTTGGGAAGAGACGAATCCAATGATACCCAGTTTTACCTTTTCAGGTCAGTCATTGACCTTCCAGGTCAGGTCAAACTAAAAAATGTTGCTGTTTTGGGTCACCGTTGGATATCAAGTGCGCTGCTTATCAAATACCGATGACGATGCTGTTTTCTGGTGCCAAGCCAGCTAGAACCTCTTTGTCACACTATCCGACCAGAATTTTGCTGCTGAGGTCATTTCAGGTCAAGTTAGGTCAAGGTCAATTATATGTGTTTGTATGTCTGTGTGTGTCTGTGTGTATACTGATGTGTGCACCGATTGTTTTTGGGTCCATATCACATGAAATCATGATCTGAGAAGCTTTTACCAAAAATGCAGTCAAAAAACTTCACAAAAAGTAAATTCAGCTTGCCTAAAACGCAATTATCTTAGATGACCTAGGTTGACCTTGACCCTGACCTTGACCCCTGTACATCGTCGAACAACATGTTCCATGATAGGTGGGAGGTAAGACTGGCAAAAAAGGCCGAAATCAGGGTGTCAAAAGCTCACAAGGCCCATGGCAAACGCAAGATGTTGAGAATTGGCCATTTGGGTCTTGACATGACCTGAAAAACAAGGTCATATCTCCGAAACCAAAAATCACAGAAACTTGAAATTTTCAGTGGACATCAAGAAAGGATAGAGGAGCAGCTATACGAAAAATCAGCCTTCTAGCTCTAAAAATGTTGAGTGCAGAGCAGAAAGACTGCCTGGGGGGGTGGCAACCACCCCCCCCCCCCATGTGCGGGCGAGGGTTAACAGGCGAAGTCATACCACAACATAAAATACACACACAAGGTAAACACTAAGCACTCATTCGCAATTAGATGACACTTAAAAATACAGAGATCCATGAAAGAGATCCATTAAAATAATAGGATAACATAACATACAGGACATAAGTGTTTCTCACTTATTCGAGGGGCCAAAGTGACGTAGGGTCGTGGGGCGACATTCTAATACGAGAAAACCGCCAGAATGAAGAAACCCTTATGGAAGTGCCTATATCGTTCGTGATAATAGCCGTTCTCACGACGGGCTATCCGGCGGATGCACCTGATTTGACCAAATCTGCACCTAATTTCTTTTACAGCAAATATCTTCATTTATGAATTTAATTCAGTGTTTTAATCGATGATGCTCTCTGATAATATGACAAAGCAGGCATATTAAGCAATTAATGCAACCCTAGCTGATAGCTGCTAAGAGACTGAGCTGATTACAACAGCACTGCCGGAGCGCGGCTGCGCGACCCCCTGTGACGCCGCCGCTCCGCTCGTCGGGCAGGCAGTGGCGTGTGCTGGCCGGAGGCCGGCTGCTCTGGCGCCGACTGTGCGCCCTCTCCGAGTGGCAGGTGTCGCCCGAGACCCACCGCAAACAGGTGGCCGAGTTCACCGACGCCGACGGCAGGGTCAACTGGAAGGAGGTGAAATGGAGAGGCAGGGAGAGGCAGAGAGGAACAGGGGCGGGGGATGCTTCAAGGAATTGGAGGGACTGGGGCGATATGGGCGCATGTTGTTGCAGCTCTGTTTATTTGGTTCAGATCAGCTGCTAAGGATTTGCTTGCTATGGCTCGGGCCGATTAAATTGAAATCGAACGGTGGACGTGTATGTATAAGTATATGTTACGCATTATTTAACATTTGTATCATTTTTTTTTTTTACTTTTGTGCGTTGCAATCTGCATGCCACTCTTACATATCATGCGGTATCATGCGGTTAGATCGGTTCTATCTATATTATCATAACAATCAGGGATATGACGCCACTAAACCTCCAGCTGCTAGAGGTCCATCAGAAACTAACCGTCACTTCTGTGCTCACTGCAGGTGTTTATCCAGCGGTACCGTCTGCGGCGGAACTGGCTGCAGGGCCACTGTCACGTGCGCACGTTCGAGGGTCACGGCCAGGGCATCTCCTGTGTTCAGTTCGACGACACGCGCATCGTCAGCGGCTCGCACGATAACAGTATTAAGGTGAGCGGTCTGCGCGGCGCTAGGGACGGTAGAAGGTGGAATGGGCGGCTCGAACGGTTAGTTCAGGCAATTAGGTCATCATCATAGGTCATTTAGGTCATTGATATGGGATAGTCTATAACGGTTGTTGTTATACGTTTGTGAAATACCATGTTGTGTGCTGTATTGACCGTTTTTCTATCGTGCACTCTACACAATGCACATACTTAGACCACTCTGACCAACTCTTTGTGGTCGGTACTCAGCTGCCGCTATGCACTCACTATAATTGCTGACCGTGAGCGTCTGTGCGCAAGTGTGGAACATCTGCACAGCAGAGTGGTACTGCCGCTATTCGCTCGCTGTTGCTGAACCCTAATAGGTTTATTGTTGCTGACTGTGAGCGCCTACGCGCAGGTGTGGAACATCCGCACCAACTCCCCGTGGTCGGTGATGACGCTGTGTGTATGTTCTGCTGACGGTGAGCGCCTGTTTGCAGGTGTGGAACATCCGCACCAACTCCCCGTGGTCGGTGATGACGCTGCTGGGCCACTCTGGCACCGTGCGCTGCCTCCACCTGCTGGAGAACAGGCTCGTCTCCGGCTCCACCGACACCACCATCAAGGTGAGGTACGCGGGGTACGATGCGGTCCCGTGGGAGGTGATGATGGTATCCGAGGTGTCATATCATTGAGGATTGGAAATATGTTTTGAGTGGGCCAGGATGTAGATAAAATGTTGGTGTTAACTTCTTTAACCCGCGCACCGACGGGGGGGTTCGCGAATAGCGGGAAAACCGCGGCGCGTACGCCGCGAAATTTGGTACGACTATTCTCTCATCAATTTTACACATGGTGTGCAAGTTTTTTTAACCTCCTAACTTTTAAGGTCAGGTCACCAGGTCACTTTGAATGACCCAACCTCAAGTCACTTTTTTGCAACTTTGTCACCGTGCCAGAGCTACAGTAGATGTCGGAGGCCTTTGAAAGTCACAGGATGTTATAAGGTCATTAGTAGCTACAATTTGTATATCTCGGAATTTTGATATCGGTGACCTAAGGTCAGGTCAATTTCTCGACCTCCCCATTATAAGTCAATGGGGGAAAAATCAACTCCCTGTTTTTACCACTAAAACGGGTCGGATTGGCCCCATAAACCATACATGACCTCATATACGATCAACCTTCACTACCTTGAGGTCTATTTTGCTGTTGGGCAGCTGCAAGGTCACGTGACGTCATCAAAGGTCACCAGCGGTTTTTTGACAATAATTCCGTACAGGAACAAGATACAGCCGCGCGGATGGTCTCATTGTGTTCAGCTCGTCAAGGCGCATCGAATGATATGCATGATGACCTCGAGGTCACGTGACCTGAGGTCAACCTTTGACCTTGACCTTTCGAGGTCAACATATATATCATTCGATGCGGATTGACGAGAGGATCACGATGCTGCCCTTAGTTTGTTCCTATATTGACTAGTTGAAAGTTATTCGAGAAAAACTCTCCATATCTAGCGCAGCCATTTTGACTTTTTTGGCCCCTGTGACGTCATTTTTGACCTGACCTGAAAATGACCTTAGTAAAAATTGTAGACCTTGTCCGTGCGTATCCCTTGCCGTTTACCGCTTGTCGCTATCTTGCTTCGTTCTCGAGATCTCAGGGGGGGGGGCGGTCATCCGCCCCCCCGTCGGTACGAAGTTGGCGCAGACCCCCGTCGGTGCGCGGGTTAATAAACCTTTTCATCGTGAGTTTTCAGTGTTTCTGTTGTGAAAATTATCTTCCTAGCTTCGCGTTACAAAAGTGTTTAATATCTCTTCCTCCTGAAGCACAGCTGCTTTGGTGTTACGATCATGAGGTAGTACCAATCTTAAAAAAAACTTTTCTTCAGGTTTGGGACCTGTCCACCCAGCTGCAGTGGTCCAGTATCGCCTGTAAGGTCACCATGGTCGGACATGGCGACACGGTCCGCTGCGTTCAGGTGAGAATCCGCTTGTCGTGTCGAACAAACGTCGCATTGTGCTCGGGAATGTTGAGGGACGGCGAGGGTGCGGAGACTGACGCCTTGTAATGTGACCTGCGTCACCCTGTAGGGCCTGGTGCTTTTTGTAACGCTACTGCCGCGGATAACACAAAGCGAGCAGTGAGTGAGACTTTGCAGCTGAGATTCAAAGGGAGACTGGGAAAGGAGAGAGGATTGGGGAGACGTGGAGGGATGCGGAGATGTGCCCGAATGTGGGGAGAAGGCAATAGGGCGCTAGGTAGAGTTTCGGGGTCGTGGTAGCGTTGTTACCACTTCGAATCCGAAATCTTGGCGCTTAGTGTATGTATTGCCAAATGCCAACCATCTTTTGCATCCAACACGCCCCCGTCTCCGTCTCTGTCCCCCACCTAACGCCTCCCGCCTGTCTCCTCCGTCTCCGTCTCTGTCCCCCACCTAAGGCCCCGCTGTCTCCGTCTCTGTCCCCCACCTCCCGCCTATCTGTGTCTCTCTCTCCCACCTAATGCCTCCCGCCCATATCCATCTCTTCCTCCCACCTAACGCCACTGTCCCCTGCCCGTCTCCACCTCAGATGGACGAGGAGAAGGTGGTGAGCGGCTCGTGTGACTCCTTCTCTTCCCCTCCCTCCCCGATACCTAACGCCTCTGCCCGTCTACCTGCTCCTCAGATGGACGAGGAAAAGGTGGTGAGCGGCTCGTACGACCGCACACTGCGGGTCTGGTGCGTCCGCTCTGGCCGCTGTCAGGCCGTCCTCACTGGCCACACTGGGCAGATCCTCTGTCTGAGGTTCGAGCAGCTCCGGCTGGTCAGCGGCGCCGCCGATAAAACAATAAAGGTGAGAGAGGGGTGAGACGAGGAGTGAGAGGGTGAGACCGGGACTGATTTGTTATACAGGACAGGCGCTGATATTGTGATGGGGCTTGGTATAAGTTGTGACGAGAAGGAGGCCAGTGTTTGTTGGAACTGGGAAGAGAGTAGGGTTTCCCAGGTGCACCTACTCGCTCTCAGGCGTGCCGATGTGTAACACCCACTGCACCTACCCCTCCCCAGGTGTGGTCGCTCTCTGAAGGCCGATGTCTGCGCACACTGGAGGGTCACGGCGGCGCGGTGACCACGCTGACCTTTGACGACCGGCGTATCATCTCTGGCTCGCTGGACTGCACCATACGGCTGTGGAACATCGACACGGGCGAGCCGCTGGCCGTGCTCGACTGGATGAAAAACGAGGGCCACACAGGTCAGAGTGGTGGGAGGCCGGTGGGAAGGGCCGATTATGGTGTTCTGACAGACACCATGCGTAGTATGGTGTCAACTTTCGCCGCTATCCTTGGTTCGGCGTTTGTATTTTATCCCGTGTCCAATGTCCATGTCACGAGCGTAGTCCGCTGTCTGTAGCTTGCGATACATGTAACCCCTCTCCCATCCCTCAGCTGGCATGGTGCCTCAGACGAAAACTCTCTCATTGTCTGGTCTTCAAATAACCCGCCCTGTCCCACCCCTCAGGCGTGGTGCGTTGTCTGGTGGCCGACCGTTGGCGCATCGTCTCCGCCTCGGACGACAAAACTCTCAAGGTCTGGTCGCTGGACACGGGCCAGCGGCTGGTGACGCTGCGGCAGCACACAGACGGCGTCACGTGCGTCCAGTTCAACGACTCGGTCATCGTCTCGGGCAGCTACGACAAGACGGTCAAACTCTGGGACTTCAGCGTCTGCTAGGGTCGAAATCAGCTACAAGACCGTTAAACTCTGGGACTTTACTGTCTGTTAGGGTCGAAATCAGATACGACAAGACGGTCAAACTCTGGGACTTCAGCGTCTGCTAGGGTCGAAATCAGCTACGACAAGACGGTTAAACTCTGGGACTTCAGCGTCTGCTAGAGGACGTGGGGGGGGGGGGGGGGCAGCTACGACAAGACGCTAAAACTGGAACTTCAGCGTCTGATAGCGGACGCATGAAGGTAGTTGCGGGAAGACGGTCAAACTCTAGGACTTCAGCGTCTGCTAGGGGACATCTATTCGCGCGTATGTGAAACCTCCGTGATCAGGGGAACCTCTCCGTGCAGGTTCGGATATTTAGGTGGGGATCTTGCGATATCGTCATTAGTTTGTCAAGCAACTAAAGGAGGATGGAGAAATTCAGAATCTCGCGTCAGATTTTATGAAGCTCTCAGATTTCAGTCCGAGTTGTTGCCAATATTTGGAAATCGGTCGTTTTGAAGGTATGGCTGCCTGCTGGTTGATGGCTTCGCTTCTGGCATGATATTGTGAAGCCAATCGTAATAGTGAAATCTCATTCATGGAAAGAAAGGCCGCTTACTTACTCTGCAGCGGCAATCTAGAGCAGCTATAAGGGATATGTTTGGCAGCTAGTAAATTATACGCACTTCACCGTCTGCAAGATAGCTGCCTGGCTAAACCTGAACTGCAAAGCTTTGTGGTCTCTGTGTCTGTGCTGCTAGGTGCTTCTTCGTGTACTCTGGGCCGCGAGACTAGACAGCTGTGTACATGTGTTCATGTGTTGTTCGTCATTGCCACCTGAGTTCACTCTTCACTAGCTCACGATCCATGTACTGATTGTTTATTGACTGTGCTCATAGGACTGTTGTCGTTTTGTGTTGTTCGCTGGCGTTCCGACCCTGCGCTGCGCTTAGTTTCGCTCGGTGAGGTGCGTCCAGTGCCTGGTGTGTTCATGTATCGTCTCCACTGTGTCAGTGGAGGCAGCTGTGTGACGTCATTGTATGACGTCACTGTATGACGCAGCCGTCCCGGTACCCGTGTAGTCATTGTCGAATCTCGCCAGGCCCGGCTGTTGTATGTAGTTTGTCGTCCGCGCCGCGCGTCGGGCGACCTCCCCGCCTCTGGTTCGTGTGCGCTGTACCGCTAATGTAGTCAGACAAGTGGCTTATGATGCAATCTCAGTAGTTGAACAAGGTGTGCTTCTCTGGCAGCAATAAGGCGCGGCTGCGGCACCGGGGTCGCAGAGTCGCGGTATTGCCTCTGTACGGGCGCAGAACGCGGCGGCTGCGACTGGGAATGTCGATATTCGAGACTGAACGTGTTCAGCGTACCTAATAGCAATCTATTTTGTGTATGGACACAGCTGCAGGTGAATTGTTTTTAATATTTATATACAGATATTTGTTTTAGCATGATGTTTTTAGTGACAGGAATGTGGGTCGAAGTGAAACGGAAAAATAAATAATACTCTTTTCTAGCCCCTCTAGTAAACGGCAGAGCAGTGGCGACATAGCGGTTCCCTGTGGCGGATCCCCTCAGCTAATGCCTCCTGTTCGCTGGACGGTTCAGGAGTTCGGTCACAGAGTCCCCAAGTCGCGGGATGAAACAATGTCACGCTGTTCACTGGCTGTATATTTTACCTGTCTGAGCGAGCTGCGTCGCCCCAGCCGGGGCTATCTCGGTTCAGCGCGTCTATCACAGTATCACCGCGGGGGCAGCCCTGAAGAGAGACGAGCGGCGCAAGCACACACACACCACCGTCGTTCTCACCAACTTATCAGCCACTGAGGCATGCGTGCGCGAACAGAAAGGACAGCGCTGACTAAAACCAGAACAATCGTACTAACAGGGAACAGTTTTCCGACATAATTTACATGAGAATGAAGTGTGGCCTGTCCCCCTTATTCGATACCGAAAGGCCCGGGTCAACGGAATGATATGGTTTCTCGATATATTGCACAAGGTACATACAAGTCGAGTTCATAGTTTATGCTTATAAAGGTCATACTACATAGCAGCAGCCCCGCGACTCGATAGAAAGCATATCAACACAGACGAATTGCAGCGTGAGGCCTTTATACTGCAGAGTTCCACTTCCCATACACACGATACTGTCCTCTGGCTATGTGACGCCACGCCACATGCTGCTATTTAATTCATTTCTATTCATACAAGCAGCGCATTCTATGTGACCTCCAGATTATGGCAGACCTCCTTAACATCCTGGAAGCACTGTAACACCAGTGGGCAATACAGCGGCACAAACGGCAGGGCAATCCCGATCACAGCGAATACATACTTCGATATAGTATCTGTTATCCTAATACACGGCCTGGGCCTCAAGCCTCTCAGCTTCAGTTTCGGCTATTACGCGTCCACGTGACGGCTGTCTAACAAAGAAAGAATCACATTGACCCCACCGCCGTAATATAAGGAACCACGACACTGCATTGCTAGGATATGCATACCATCACTTCCATTGCATCCCTCCCGAAAGCACGAAATACAAAAACAACCGGTTCACGCCTTGGTCCCGGCAGTTTTGAATGGAGGTAAAGCAGCTGCGACTAGAACTCAGAGCAAAAGACTACAGTTAGGTTAAGTACCTCATTCACAACAATCGCCGGTGACTACATGTCCGGTGACTATCACATCGCATAAATAATGTCCTGTCTATATTCTCGTCCGTGTTTGAGCACCCACGCAATCATATCAGCTGCCAGTTCCCACACACCAGTAATAAACTTAGTTCGACGCTAATAAATCATAAATAGTAGCAGTTCAGTTCGGGTTCAGCCTGGAACCGTTCAGTCTCAGCTTTATGCTGAATGGCGTGCCATACAACAATCAGATCACATCATCCTGAGCAGAAATTGCCACCACCCAGTACCAAACGTGATTCGCACCCGATCCGCCAATATCATTCACCTCTGATGAAGATTCAGCCACGGTCGGCTTCTCCGAGAAGACTGTGATATAGCGTAGCAGTCTCAGTTCATCGTGTGTCCTTGCCAGCAGTATTTCCCTTCGTGAGTCATCCCTCTGTGTTCTATTTTCTCCAGAGTTTTCCGGCCGCAGCCACGATAGAGACCCAGCGACTACAGACACAATGAGCGTCCCCATCGGTCGCTCTCCGGTAGCAACCCCGTCCGGCGGAGGCGACTCACAACAGTCCGAAGCCGACGTTACCCTCTCGGATGGCCAGCAGCAGGGCCCGCTCGAACTCCTGGTAGCTCACGTGGTCCGGCAGACACAGCTGGTTGAAACTGACCGTGACAAGATAACGTCGTCAAGCAGGTTATCTAATTTCGACGCAGGTAGGCAACGTGTCAAGACAGTTAGCGCCCTAAGTAAACAGGAGCATAAATTTCGATAATAATTGTAATAAATGCATAATATAAATGCAATCGAACACAGGAGAAAGAAAAGTCATAGTATGAATCACGCCGAGATTCGGAGCAAATGCATAAAAATACGTACTGCGAGGCGACGCTCTAATATTCCCATGTCACCTTTCTCATTCACCGATACAGCTACTAACATCAATAACTTGCTAACAAGTAAGGCACTTCTCCCCAGCTGCACATCTCCCTCCTGCCTGGTCGACCGCTGCCCATCCGCCCCTTCCCGCCCCGCCCCACTCACCAGGTATGCGCCACGGGCAGCGCGCCGAACTCTGGGTAGCTGGAGATCTGGAACTTGGGCATCAGCTCAGCGAAACCGCCGGCCGGCAGTCGCGCGCAGCCGGTGGTGAACTGCAGCAGCCGGGAGCCCTCCTCCGCTGCAGGCGGGGAACATGGGTCAAACAACGGGCATACGAGGGCCAGGTCGGACAGACAAGACAACGTCAGGTAGAGTATAAAGGGGCCAGATATGTTACACATAACGGCAAAGTAGTTTATATGGGACGGAAGCTCAATGGTGCGGGTCCTCAGTATTGAGGAGCAGATAGAATAACGCCCAAGAGAATAACCGCGTTAATACCATGGTACACAGCCGGCGCCCCTGACATCTCACTGCCGGTCCTACTGAGGGTGAGGGCACTGACCGGAGAAGTTTTCCAGCGCCGTCCAGAACCAGCCGAGCACCTTCTCGAAGGCGGCGTTGTGGTCAGTGACTGTGTGGTGGCGGCGCAGCTCGGCCACGCTAAACTCGCTGCTGCCGCACATCAATAACTGCAGACGGAGATATAGAGAGCGTCACAGCACACTGTCACAGCACACCGTCACAGCACACTGTCACAGCACACTGTCAGAGCACACTGTCACAGCACACCGTCACAGCACACTGTCAGAGTACACGGCGCAGCTCGGCCACGCTGAACCCGCTGCTGCCGCACCTCAGTAACTGCAAACGGACACAACACACATCAGTGGCTGCGGACGGAGAGAGGTCAGATTTACACGGCTGCTGGGGACGGACAGAGAGGTCAGAGCAAATGAAGTTCAGCGTAACACAGGCAACAGCTGCGAACTGAGCCGCGAGCCAATGTGAGAACATAACGTCCGAATAGCGCGAATAGTTAAGTAACGCCCGAACATATTTCGAAGAGCATAGGCAAGTCAACTTTATAGGGAAAACAAGGACAAAACTGCAGACGCCTGCGCATGCAGTATGAATGTGTGACGCAATGCCCGGGTAGTATTGTACCATCACCGACAAACGAAGACGCTGTATGGCACGGCTCCACGACTCGGCTGAGCTGCAGGAAAGAGCCCTAGATTTAGTGCTCAGCTGCACACAGCACCTAAACCCTGCCACGTCCCGAAATGAATGCGGCACCCACCTCCAGTTCGTTCTCGTCAAAGATGCCGAGCAGGTTGTCGGGCACCAGGTCGTTGAGGCCGCGCAGGAAGGCGTCCACCTCCGGCTTGCAGCGGTTGGCCAGCCGGTACTGGGCCAGACACTGCAGGTACTCGAGCCGGTTCTCGGCGGTGACCGGAGTGCGCGCGCCGCCACTGCGCAGCTCCACGGTCTAAAACGGACGGACCGGGGCAGATGGGGTCAGACGTGGAGTCATGCAGAGAACGGGCAGCTTGAGATGAAAACAAACAGCCACTTTACCACTTTGTTAAATACCTAGCTTGAATTTTATACGTAATATCATCCTACAACATATCGCTCGATTTATCTTCCTCCAAAATATGTAGTGAAATACTAAAAATGAGCCCAGTTTCACGGAAATAACAACACTATATCAGCTATTATCTACTCCACCGCGTATTATATATAGTGTAAAAATAGGGCAATTTAACACACCTCCGTAGAACAGTAACCATCCCCCGCCCGACCCCTCACCTGCAGCAGCTGGCCGCGCTCCCCGAACTCCTCGTCAGTGAAGGTGAGCTCCAGTTCAGCCAGCTCGTCGGCCGGACACGTCTCGATCAGCGTCACCTTCGTCCGGTACAACTCCGGGTCGTCCTGCTCGAAATGCTGCCGAGGGGTGAGGGGTGAGAGGGGTGAGGTGAGCGAGAGGTGAGGGATAAGAGGGGGAGAGAGGCGAGAGCAGGGGAAGGGGGAAAATGTCCTGCAAACATCATATCACTTACGCTTCGCGCAAAACAAAAGAGGACTAGGCGGAACTGACTAATAAGTGATAAGAGCACCATTTTCGATCAGTCGTCCAATAACACGCCAGTTATGAGTTCGGCAATGAAGACTGAAGTAGCTGGTACTCCATAGTTTTAGGACCGAAGCTTGAATATGGCACATCACAAACAGCCCTTTTTCCATGGCCCTGTTTCACCGGTGATAGCAGCACGCTACTATCAAATTGCGCGAGCTGACATAATGTGATGAGGTCACACTAATGACGTTTCGTGTAATTCGTGAGCTGCGGTTGGAACAGAGTTGCTGTCTCGTTGAATGTGTTTGATAACATTTGTTTGATCGCACGGCCGTGAAGATGTTAGCAGCAATATTTCATGACATCACACAGATTGACGGCGTCATGGTTTGTTGATGTTTCCATGGAAACCCAATTTGACACGACAGGTGTAATAGCAGCGTGCTGCTAGCACCGGTGAAACAGGGCCCATATCTGACCCTCACCTTATATGAGACGCGCAGGCCGATCAGCTGCGCCAGGAACGAGCGGGTGAAGCTGGCGCGCACCAGCTGCCGCGACGCGCCGCCCTGCGCCGACTCCAGCAGGCACTTGCCCGCCACGCGGCCGGCGAACTCGAAGTGGCGCAGTCTGACGTGCTGCGGCCGGCGGGCGGCGGGTCGCGGGTGTACCAGCGCCTGGCTGCCCTCCCCCGAGTCGGCCAGCGGCGCGAACAGGCCGCCGCGCCGCTCGAACAGCGCCTCACACACCAGCTCAAACCACTCGCGGCGCACACCGCCGTAGTCGAGCGCCTCCTCAGAGTCGAAGCGCACCTCGAACGGCCGCGTCCAGTCGCCGGTCGAGGCGCCGCGCAGGGCGTCCAACGAGCTCTCCAGCAGCGCGGCACGGCGCACGTGCAGCGCCAGCGGGCGTCGCGAGCGGCCGGCCGCCGTCAGCTCCAGCTCGCGGTAAAAGAACCGCCGCCGGTCCGAGAACGTCTCACTACCGCCGACATTTCTCAACAGGAACAGGGTGAATGTGGCGGCCAGCTGGTCCCGCTGTGAGAGCGTCAGCTCCACCACGGGCTGACAGCCGTCCGAGACCGTCACCGACGGCAGGCAGGCGGTGTTCCGCTCGTTTGTGGGCGTCAGTCGGGTGCTCGGACACAGCCGGAACGTGTACAGCTTGCGCGGGATGAAGAAGAACACCGTCTCGCGGATGGTGAGCTGTTTGGGCGACACGTAGCACCAGACGTCCTTGGGCTTGTTGAGCGGCACGCCGTCGACGGACGTCAGCCGCGCGGAGAACGACACGCTGCGCGTCGAGACGTTCTTCTTGATGGAGGTCATATGGTAGGCTGCGCGCGAGAGGACAGGCGAAAACGCGGGTCAATGGAGGCGAAATACACTGCACGATATATATTAGACAAGACAAAGGCTTGTTGGAAAAATGATTGATGGAACATATTCGTGTAACAGCCTTAAAATTTCTACGGAACGTGGCGGTATCAGCTATCCTATATCTGACAAGGCTACATTTCACATCTTTTCCCATTCTTTGGTAACTTAAGTCCACGATAGAGCGCCAGAAATCACCATAGAACCCCAACAACCACTGCCACTGAGCACCAGCTCTCACAACCAACCAGCACCAAGACTCACCGCTGAGTACCACCACATGGAAGCAGCCGCCGCGCACGGGCCGTCCGTCCCAGGCGACGGTGCCTTTGAAGCAGCCCTGTCGCGAGAGGACGAGTCGCAGACCGACGCGTCGGCCGCCCAGCTCCGGCTCCAGGTGCTCGTAGGCCACCACCGGCAGGCCCGTGTCCAGCTGGGGAGAGATCCGACGGTTACAGAACGGCCGACGACTCCAATAACCTACAGCGACAGCCCGCGGGGTTAAAGAACTAAAAAGGACTACCGGTCCAGCAGCAGGCTGTTCATAATTAAAATTTCAGAAATGATGCTGGCCTGTCCGCGTCCTTCTGTTAACACTTCCAAGTACCAACTATGTCTTCTAAGTCTTCATATCCTTTCAATTCAACCGTGCCCTACCTTAGTCGTCCAATTCCTTCTTTTTCCTGCGTCCTGTTCCGTTCCATTCCACCCTTTTCAGTATTCATTTCCGTCCTCCTCCATATCCCTTCACCCTCCCCCACCCACCTCCTCGACGGAGACGGTGAGCAGCGGCCGCGACAGCTGCCGCCAGTACATGCCGTCCACCCAGTCTACTCCCCTACCCTTACCCATCCCTACCTCCTCGACAAACACTGTGAGCAGCGGCCGCAGCTATTACCCCTATCCCTGCTCTCCTCCCCATCCCTACCTCCTCGACAGACACGGTGAGCAGCGGCCGCAGCTGTTACCCCTATCCCTGCTCTCCTCCCCATCCCTACCTCCTCGACAGACACAATGAGCAGCGGCCGCAGCTGTTACCCCTATTCCAGCTGTTCTCCTCCCCATCCCTACCTCCTCGACAGACACGGTGAGCAGCGGCCGCAGCTGTTACCCCTATCCCTGCTCTCCTCCCCATCCCTACCTCCTCGACAGACACGGTGAGCAGCGGCCGCAGCTGCTCCCAGTCGTCGGGCTCGCAGGGATTGTTGAAGGCGTCCCGCAGCTCCACCGACATGCTGTGCGGCTGGCCCTGCGTCATGACGGCTGTGCTGCTGTGGCTCAGCAGCAGCGACCGGTCCGCGTCCGGGCGCTCTGTGGGTGACGGGGGGGGGGGGGTGAGTTTGGTTTTAGGGGTCAATGACGTTCCACAGACGAAAGGTAGCTTTGAAATGAGAATTGTAATATTTTTAATTTGTGTGCACTTAGCAGTTAGCAGTGAGCTTTTAACTTCAAGGGGCATAGAGAATAAGCCTAGCCACACAATCATTATGACAATCACGCAATAGGAGAGAAGACCTCACAGTTGGCTAATGATAACTTGTTTAGATACGAATGAAACGACGCGAAATTCAGAAGGTTCGTGCACAAACAACAGAACTGCAGCAAAAAAAAATCGAAAAGCACATCTTTACCTCAAATGACAAATTATCTGCTCACCACCCACTATTCTCCAAACTCCCAAGGGACCTCCAGCGGCCGGTTACCCTCTGCCTCGTAGCTCCCTCACTCTCCCCACTCCCAGCGTCCCTCCCCCGCACCTCTCACCCGCCAGAAAGTGTCTCCGGTACGGGCTGCCGGCCACGTGTCGTCCGGCCAACATCACAGAGATCCAGTAGGTACCGGCGGCGCGGGCGGGAAACGAGCACCGCACCTCGTCGGCAGCGCGCCATTCCAGCGCACAGGCCACCGGCGCGCCGCGCACGTGAACCTGGACACGCAGCGCGGCCGGGTCCGAGCGGAGGTCGTACGGCCGGCCGTCCACCCGCTCCACCTGGGGGGGGGGGGGGGGGGGGGGGGTAGCGGGAGAGGAGGGGTCAGTGTCCAGTACTCAGTGGGAGGGAGGGCGTGTGAAGGTGGATGTCGTAGCAGCGATCGTAAGCGAGCAATTACTAATTACATGGTAAGGAGACGGGGAAGAGTATGTGAAAGAAAGGAAAGGTGTGAACACTGGGACAGATCGCAAAAAAAATGTGTACTAGACAATGCATTTATCAAGAGTCGATGCATCACAAAAAAAATATAAAAACAATTAACATTGATAGAAATATGGGATTAAAAATCCCTTGTTATGCATAAGCGAGGGATGGTGATGAGTACAGTCGTGTACAGGTTGATGGTCCGCCACTCTTTATCCACCGGGTTCCTATGGCTCAGCATTGGCAGCAGCCGCCTGGTACCGGTAGGCTGTGCCGCATGACCCGAGAGTGAAGCGGCACAGCCTACCCACACTGTATGACACCGGCTCGGGTCGCCTGGTAGAGCGATTTGACCGGACGCTGCGTTACACCGGCTGGAGGGATGGGGGGGGGGGTAAGGGTCAGGCCTGTCTATTTGGCTCGGCTCGGTGGATGAGGCGGGCTGGAGTGTGGTGTGGGGCGGGGGTGATGTGGGGAGGGAGTGAGCGGACCTGGGGCTGGGTGTGTGTGGTCACTTGTCGCATAGAACCGATCGTAATCCACCCTCCAAAAATTCGCTTTAGATATTCACAAAACCCAGGGGGGTTCAAACACCCATCTCCCAAGTGGAGTGCGGAAGGACAGGTAAGGGTCCATAAGTCTCCTCATGAATTGCAGCAAAGAAAGAAAACAGACCTGTCACCAAATAATCTTTCTGAAAAGTGGACTAATCGCAAAGCCCAGGACACAGAAATAAACATCCAGCACGCGAAGCGTCTCGAACCGGGCCTCTGGCACTACCGGTCAGTTTGACAGTCCAGCACTCCTACCCTGAGCTACACCGGATGGTGGCCACGGCCGGGGCAAAGTCTCAGGCCGGGCGGGCGGCGGGGCCGGGAGGTCGGCAGCAAAGTCAATGAATGTTTTTGTGGTTCCGGGAGCCGGTCGCTCTAGCTTGGTGGAATGATGATGGATCATTTTTTTTTTATAAATTTAGTCCGAATGGTTGAATGGGTGGATTTGAGGAATCAGAGCCCGCACTAAGCATAGCTTGTTGTGCTGACCCTGAGCCCTCCACCCGATCGCGCAATTCCAGCTGTATGGCAGAATTTTGTCCGAACGTTTAACGTGCCCTCACGACTGGACACGGCCCCCTCCGCTCACTCACGTTACCTGGCTTCTGTGCGGCCCCTGCCACAGACACGCACGCCATTACACGTAGGAGCTAAATGTGGCCGCCCGCACCGGGGCTTGAACCGGGCTCTCACTACCGGCTAAGCGTCGAGTTCCGGCGCCTTAATCCACTCGGCCATGGAGGGGATCATTGGCAAAACTTTCAAAGTGGAGTCCCGGTTCGAGCCTCATCGGGGCTCCGGCTACTTTTCCGAGTTAGGATCTGGTTCGATTTTAGTGGTTGCGAGCCATTTATACGGTTTTATATCTACATGTCGATTGTCGATTGGTTGATTGATTCATTCATTCGTTCATTTAATACATGTCGACATTTAACATACGAATTGACATCCAGGATCAATCCGATCAATCTACCATTTTCATAAGCGTATTGCCTAAATATCATGCACATATGTGGCACAAGACCTATGGTTGCCTCGATACCGTGCCAAATCACGTTTTGCACAATGCACAAACAAATTATATTCGCTGGGTCTTCCGTGCATTTTGCTTAGCAAAAACAGGAATGCAATTGTTAAGCGACGCAAAATGTGCAATGCAGCAAGTGACCACACACACCCGCCCAGCCCCCATGGTCCACCAACACGCCCCACACCACTCGCCAGCCCACGCCAACCACCGAGACGAGCCCCTCCCCCGCGCTGGTCTGAAGCGACAGCTGGTCTACAAAGCGCTCCACCCGGCGACCCGAGCCGATGTCAAACGGCGTGGGTAGACTGTGCCGCTTCACTCTCGGGTCATGCGGCACAGCCTACCGGTACCAGGCGGCTGCTGCCAATGCTGAGCCCTAGGAACCCGGTGGATAAAGAGTAGGGGACCATCAACCTGTACACGACTGTACCTTTACACCGAACAGGGCTCTGCACAACAACCCCTCAGACATCACTCTTTCAATAGTCTCTCCCGACTACTCTTCCCCTCTCCCTCTCTAGCCCCCCCCCCCCCCCCCTCCTGACTGACCTTGATCTCCAGGGAGACGACGCCGCCGACCCTGCGCCGGTCCTCCCAGAGCAGGCGCACGTGGCAGCGCAGTGTGAGCTGCAGCAGGGCGGTCAGTGTGTGCCGCAGCGGCTCGGTGATGGCGCGGCCGTCGGCGCCGTCCCGCCACCAGCGGTACACGAGGTCAGAGAGGAGAATGGTCGACAGGGCCACCAGGCCGCTCAGCAGGTTACGCCCTGTACGCAGACAAACGGGGGGCTATTCAAAGGTCGATAGGGCCAGTACTCAGCAGACCGCCAAACAGGACATTACGCTTTGTACGCACAGAAAGGAATGATACAGCGGTCTATACAGCCACCAGGCCGCTCAGCAGGTTACGCCCTGTACGCACAAACCGTTATACAGACTAGGTTGACAGCGCCACCAGGTTGCTTAAAAGGTTACACCCAGCTGCAAGCACAGACATAAACAAACAATCGAAGGCTACGGAAGAAGGCATGTACAGCGCATGGCGGAGGAACTGAATAGACGAAGGAAGGAAAATAGTAGTGGATAGTTTCAATCACAGCTAGGATGTCAATGATAAACCAAGACACAGGCGAGGATAGGTAATGAAATCATTCAACTACGAACTAATACGGATGCTGGACGAGCGTTTACGAGTTAGGGCTGTTTATTTTACTAACGTACACCAGGTGAGCGGCCGTGGTCCGGTGGGGGTAACGACATGCCGCGAGGTCCGCATCTCCTGCAGCAGTTGCTGCTTGAGTTCGGCCATCTCGGCCTGTCCGGAGGGCAGCCGGGCAGCGGCCTCCGCCAGGCCCGCCAGGAGCTGGTCGGCCACCTCCGCCCCAGAGGACAGCTGGTCGAGCGAGGTCACTCCGTGGGACCGCAGCCTGGGGAGCGGGACCGGTCGGCGGTGTGGTGACTCAGCTGTCAGGGTGCGGAACGGTGGAGACGGGGTACTGTGCAGTTTATATACAGCTGTCAACAGTGTAATTTTGAGCGTTAGGTACTGGTACCTAAACATTTTCATTTAGTCCAAACAGCCAAGAAGTTTATGTAGACATAGGGGTTTGGTTGTCATTTGGGTCGCACATTAGATGAGTTTCCAAAGTTATCAAGTCTGAATTGTTCAAACTAACGATGTCTCTCGGACGACGAAGATTCTACGTCGTCCGGCCAATCTCGCTCAAGGTAAGCGGGGGCTCGGCTGCGGTTATGGAACGTGATTGGCCGGTCGACGTAAAATCTTCGTCGTCCGAGAGGCATCGAACATCGAATATCGAATCAAAGAGCAGAGAGCGGAGACCAGTGAATACGATATAGGTAATGCTGGATAACTAATACCTAACAAACTGCAGAGCCATATTTTTCAGCCTGAGCTTTCCATTAGGTTAGGGGCAACTGGGGTACGTTGTGGCACCTCTCACGCATACTAAAAGTTCGCCTGTTGGATCACATCTCGACAGGGCGTCTCACCAGTCGGCCTGGTCGTCCTGGCGCTGGCGCACTAGCCAGAAGTTCAGCACCAGCTGGTCAAACAGCTGGCGCGAGGCCTCCAGCAGCGGACCGCGGTGCTCGCTCGGGATGGACTTCAGCCGCCGCTCGTCGGCGAAATCCAGCAGACCACTCACGCCTGGCACACAAGGGAGAAAGGCTAGAGCAACAGAACTACAGAACCGAACGAAATGGTACACTTATATGGCAAAATAAATAATTTATTGCAGACTGCGGGTGTTACAAATGTAGACTTGTTCCTTCATATATCCACACGAGTTGTGAAAAAACTGGTTCGAAATTTGCTAATAGTAACAAATGACAGCACATTGGGACAATATGAGATTCTATGAGCACCTGGTCCATCCTTTCATTCCAAGATGTCCCTAGTCCCTTACCATGCTGTCTCAGCAGCTCCTCGTATCTCCCAAGGCCATGCTCTGAGAGCCATTTGGACTCATCCCAGCTCCATCGTGGCTTTTTATTCCACCAAGTGACTATGCTAACGATAATTATTACCAGCCATGCCTTCATCCTGAAGCAGACAATAGCAAAGGTGTCACAAATTAACACAAAGAAGTGGTCCTAGGGGCACAGTACATCAGTCCTCGTGGCTTCATGGCTAAGGTGGGTACCTGACCCAAAAGCAGTGAGTTATCTGTTTGTTGGGGTTTATGGACATGTCAATAGGGGGATCTTATTCATTAGTAGTCAGGGGCACAACCCAGCCAACAATTTGGTTTGGCTCAAGTCGGTATTGTCCCTGAACTCTGAGATGCCAGATTTGGACTGGTGTAAATGGAAAACTGTCGGAACAGGGGTTGAAGTGAGTCAATATGGCTCTAGTCCAGTTAGCCGGTCTTTGCCGTAGCACTCCAGAGTTGGAAGACCTTGCCCATACTATTACTTTGGCCAGAGTTGTCCTGACGATGGCACAATGCATCAGCAAATTTTAGGAACTCTTTTCAAACCAACTGAAAATCACCTCGCGTTCTGAGTCTCTCAGACAGCAAAGATTCTATGTTGTCTGACCAATCCCGTTCAAGGTCAGCAGGGGCTTGGCTGAAGTTATGGAAAAGGATTGGTCAGACGACATAGAACCTTGGTCGTCTGAGACTCCGAGTGTCGGGCGTCAGTCTCAAGTCACAGTCCAGTAAGCAGTCGTCCATGGTGATAATGCATCTAAATGCAATACAAGTTCCCCAGCATGACATCACCACTGTTCAGTGTTGTAATATTAAGTTCTAAGGCACCAGGATGCAATTAATCGAGAATAATTCACTTGCTAATATTAGACAATGTTCGATTTTCTCGAGTTCAGTTTTTGCCTTTTTCTCTGTCTTAAACGCCCAATAAATAACAAACTTTACTCGGAAACAAACCACTTATACTTTTGAGAAAAAAAACGACACCCACTCACACTTCCAAACCTCCGCTTCCGAGACACCCCATCCAAAACAAACCACAACAAACAAACCAATGGTAACAAATGAGGATGCGAATCAGTGTTTCTCAAAACTTTTATGATTACGTCATGTTATATCAAGAGTTTGACGGGAGCAGCGACACAAATATTGATTAAACATTTGTAATTGGACTTAATTTGTACGTATTCGGACCGACAGCTTTTCGAAAATACAAACGAATAAGAAAGTAACTAAAATGTTACGAAATAGTGACTATTTTTTGTGTCAGTTTGATGACGTAATCTAAAATTTACATTGGTTTCTAAAGGTTAGAAATATTAACGGCCTTGGAGGATTCGTTGGTTACGAATGTGGCGCGGTATGTTACGGCTCGTTTTTTTCGTTTTCTGGCAATTTCAAAGGCCCTATACACCGAAGTTTCCATTTTTTCACTATCGCGGATCCTATATGTTGATTTTGTGACTTCGATCGACACGGGTAAATTATGATTTTCAGCATATTGTTACATAGATGCTGAGTGCCGCCAAGGATAAGGCTGTATCATGATAATGGCCGGGAATGGGAAGATGAATCAAAATTACAATGTTCAATGAACCAATATTATATTTAACCAGAGCTGGGCGCGTTCCTCGATTTTCGGTAGTGCGTTAGCGTTCCTGCGTTCCTCCGGCCGCGGTTAGTGCGTTCCTGGAATAGCGTTCCTCAATTTTTTTTCGCTCGGTGCGTTAGCGTTCCTGCGTTCCTGCGTTCCTCCCTCAAAAATACCGCCGAACCACGCGGCGCGGGCCCAACCAAACACGGGGCGAATCGATCACAGAATACCCAGAATACCGAGAATGGCGACGTGGGGCCGAAAAGCAGCTCGACATCTCTTTTCCGAATCAAATATCTGAAATACGTTTTACCAATATCATCCGTAGGGTTTTCAACAAAAATACGACCTGCTTAAAAACAATAGTTAAGTTAAAAGATGTATCTTAGTAAAAGTTATCATATTTACTTTACACATTTAATGCCTGAAACTGAATCGAATAGTAAACATCACCACTAAAAATCTTTACACATTTAATGCCTGAAACCGAATCGAATAGTAAACATCACCACTAAATCTAAGCAAGCCTTCCTCGATTCGACCGACAAGTGGCGCCTCTACCGGCAAACATACGTACTCGAGATTCAAACATTTGACACAGAGGTCATTGGCAGCAGTATAATTTTTCGGGTGGTTCCGCAAGAACGCAGGAACGCTTCAAAATTTCATGTGGTGCGTTCCTCTTACTTGTGTTCCTTTGAAAAACTTTGCGTTCCTGCGTTCTTGCGTTCCTAAAAAGGGCGGTGCGTACGTACGGAAGAACGCAGGAACGCACTAAAGGAACGCACTTGCCCAGCTCTGTATTTAACACCAATTTAGTTGGAAATGTTTTTATGGTGATGTATGGATTGGGACCAGGTTCATCATCTACTTGTGATACACTCAGCTTGAGGATCAGAAGTCAGAATTCTGCGGAAAAAGTACCTATGAACTGAGCGCAGGCGTATTTAAAATGTCATAGTGTGCTCTAAATGAAGTTCTGATTCAGAACTGATGAGTCGAATCATATCTTTGAGCTAATTGTTAAAATGAATACATTTACCATTAAGTGATGATAAATATATCTATGCCACACTCCACTCATCCCTGCCCTGCCCATTCTGATTCTGATTCTGATCTGCAGGGCGCTGAAACCAATACAGACCAGCGCAATGGGTTCTACACAGCAGTTCTCTCTAAAATGGAACAAGTACCGCCAGAACTGGGACCGGTACCTGCTGCGCGCCCTCAGCAGTCACCTGTTCAGTGATGTAATGGTGGCCTGTGACGGCGAGGTGTTTCAGCTGCACCGTGTGGTGCTGGCCTCCTGCAGCGCCTACTTCGAGAAAACTCTGCAGGTGGGTGGGCCCACTGGTGCAGAATTCTTTGCACCCAGGATGGCAGACTTGTGCCGGGACCAAAAATCAAGATCCAGGATCCTCAAGGTCCCACGGCAAATTCAGTTTTTAGAATCCAAGGTTTCCAAGGTCCCACGGCAAATTCAATTTCTATAATCCAAGGTTTCCAAGGTCCCACGGCAAATTCAATTTCTAGAATCCAAGGTTTCCAAGGTCCCACGGCAAATTCAATATCTAGAATCAAGGTTTCCAAGGTCCCACGGCAAATTCAATTTCTAGAATCCAAGGTTTCCAAGGTCCCACGGCAAATCCAATTTCTAGAATCCAAGGTTTCCAAGGTCCCATGGCAAGTATACATTGCAGGGTCCACAGTCCCCAAGGTCCCACGACAAAAATGCATTGCAGGATCCACAGTCCCTAGGGTCCCACGACAAGTGTGAATTTCAGGGTCCACAGTCCTCAAGGTCCCACGGCAAGAATACATCTCAGGATCCAAAGTATTCAGGGTCCCACAACAAGAACGTAATCAAACTAACATTCTGATGAGCAGACATACTTCTAAATATTCTGCCAACGGATGCCCAGCAACATTGAAAGGGGCAGAACCTATGCAAACTGAAACCTGTGGACTGTGGTGGTTTTATCATTAACCAACATAGGTAGGGGGAGCTTCAACACAAGTTAAAAATGAATCATTATATCAATTTCTCCTTCTTTAACCTGACAAATTCATAAAAATATAGGTAGGTAATAGGTACCTTGCAATTTGTATTGTCATGTCCTTTTCAATTCAATCTTACCTGATCAGTAGGAATGAAGGATAGCACCTTGCAGTTATTGAAGACAGACATTCAAGTATTCTTTCAGGCAATATCAAAAAAACCAGAATTAAAACCTACAGGCTTCATAAAAATGGAAAAGTTGAATTGGATAGGTATATGCTTTCGATTTTCTGCACATTCAGTTACATAATCATAATACCTAGGATAAAAACTCAAATATGTTCTAAGTCTCGTTTGCGCGAGCGCTCACAGAAAAACTGATCGACTGAGCCAATAGAATTAGAGTATCAGCGAGCGCAAACCTTACTTACTGTTCATTCACATTAGCTTGAAGGCTCTGAACAAAATTCCATCTGACAATGTTTTCGTCAGACAGTTCTTCGTCGGCAGATTTTCGTCTGACCTTTTCGTCTTGTATTTTTTCGTCTGTACGAATTGATCTGGTGCATTTTTCGTCTGAGTATTTTTCTGTCCGGCATTTTTTCGTCTGGACGAGGCGGAAAAATGCACCTTACGAAAAAATACGCGGACTTAAAAATGCACAGACGAAAAAAATGCATAGACGAAAGGTTTATATAGCCTTGGACGAAAGTAAGGGACGAAAGTCTGCGGACGAAAATCTGCAGACGAAAAATTGTCCGACGAAAACCTGCTTAATAAAAAAGTTGAACTGTCATGGAATCATTGCTTATATTGAATGCTCATTGCTCAATGGTGGTTTGATGACTCAGACTTGCAAAACAAATAAGTTTGACACCTACTTGGTCCAGTGGGTACCTAGCTTCCAAGTAGCTTCAAGCCCGGCATAGCACAACCCAGAAAATATGTGAGGTGAGATTAGAAAAGAACTTTCCAAACCACCACTGTCCACTGTTTGACAGTTTCATAATCCATAACATTGCATTGATAATGTAAAAAGCTACCAGGTCTCTTGTTCTAGTTCTGCCTCACAGCCATGACAACGATTTGGCTCTATATATGTCTACACTGTCTGGTTCGTTTTCTCTTCATGTATCTATCTTGGCCCCTTGCAGCTGGTCGCTCAACCATAGATATTTATTGAAGTGCTTACAGACAAAACCTAGTGCAGGGTCCTTAGTGGCCCATGTGCAACATAAACCTCATGGTCCAGCTTCCAGGATTCTTGAGGTCCCTCAACAAAATGATGGTGTATGTCCAGACCGTTCTCTTAAGATCCCATGACAAATAATAGAACTGGGACTGAAGGTCTGCATTCTGCAGAGACTTGCAGCATACCAAAATTTTGAGGTCCTGACCCCTGGGTTTCCATGGTTTCACGGCATATGAAATGTTGAGGTCCTGGGTTTCTAAGGTCTCATGTCACATGAAATGTTGATGTCCTGGGATTCCAAGGTTTCGCGGCATATGCAAATGTTGAGGTTCTGGGATTCCAAGGTCTCGCGACATATGCAAATGTTGAGGTCCTGGGATTCCAAGGTCTCGCGACATATGCAAATGTTGAGGTCCTGGGATTCCAAGGTCTCACGGCATATGGATGTTTTAAGGTCCTGGGTTTCCAAGGTCTCGCGACAAAAATGACAATGCAAGGTCCAGGATCCATCAAGGTCCCAGACCTTGGACTCTGCGAACCCTGGATCTCGGATCTTTTTGGGACCTTGGCACAAGTCTGCAGGATGGTGGTTCTGAACTGGTTTGTGGCCAAGAATGGTTAGCTGACTGCATTAGTTGTTTTGATATGATTTATTTCTTGTGATTTCATCATGCTATCATGTCAAATGACTTTTTTAGGTTGTTATCCTATTTTTGATTTGTTGCTACCTATTTCATTGTCTACCATGCATGCTTCCACAAACACATGATCAATGATCATTAGCCACAATATTTTTTTCTGAGGTCAGTGCTCATCCACCCTTCTTTTGAAACTTCAGAGGTCATCTAGGCTTCAAAGCAATTTAACGCCCATCCACTCTTATGACTTCTACCATTTTGTATGTTCATACACCCTGCTTTGCCTTCTTTGACTGCTCCGTTTTGCACCCACAGAAAATACCGGCCAAGGAGACGCCGATTGTGATGCTGAGTGACGTCACGGAGGCCGAGCTGCGCACGCTGATCGAGTTTATGTACTGCGGCGAGGCCACCATCGACCAGGGCCGGCTCGAGTCGCTGCTTAAGGTAGGGGCGCACCATTAGGACCACGGAGCTATGTTGTGGAAAGTGTGAGGTCTGGCTGGGCTAGTCCTACCCAAACATTTTATTAGTAAAGTTATCTTGCAGAGACGTCGACCTGGAAGTCTCGACAGCTGGGATCGTAAATTATGGTTCCATGAACAACCAATTCTA